ACGACCGCTTCTCCGACGAGCAGCTGGTGACCATGTCGGTGCGCGAGCTGAACCGGCAGCTGCGCGGGGTCAGCAAGGAGGAGGTGATCCGACTGAAGCAGAAGAGGCGGACCCTGAAAAACCGCGGCTATGCCCAGTCCTGCCGCTTCAAGAGGGTGCAGCAGAGACACGTCCTGGAGTCGGAGAAGAACCAGCTCCTGCAGCAGGTCGACCACCTCAAGCAGGAGATCTCCAGGCTGGTGCGCGAGAGGGACGCGTACAAGGAAAAGTACGAGAAGCTGGTGAGCAGCGGGTTCCGAGAAAACGGCTCGAGCAGCGACAACCCGTCCTCTCCCGAGTTTTTCATGTGAGTGTGACTCGCGATCCCAGCTCGCCACCTTGTTAAACGCCCCGTGGGGGTCCCGCTCCAGAGTGGGCTTGCTAGGCGCAGAGCCGCGCTCGCCACCACCTCGCCCCCTCCCCTGCCGAGTTTGCCCCCTTGGCCCCGTGCGCGCGCGCGCATGCACACACACACACACACACACACACACACACACACGCACCCTGCTCAGTTGGTGGTGGTGGCGGCTATTTTGAAATGGGGAGGGAAGGGGTACCTGGCTCATGGATTGCCAATCTGAATTCCGCATAACTTGCGAGCTTGTTGTTTTTTTTTTACACCCCCCCCACACACACACAGACACACACACACACACAGGACTTGCACAAGGGTCAAAGATCTGAGCCTAGTACTTCATGTAAGACATTGCTCACCTTTGAAGCCAGCCATCAATCACCCCCCACTTCCCCTTTTCAGTTCATGAGCTGATTTTTATTTTGTGTGTGTGTGTTTATTTTGTTTGGATTTTTTTCTTCTTTTTCTTTTCCCTTTGTTTTTTGTTTATTTTTGGAGCTTGCTGTGTTGCCCAACCTCCACCCTCCCTCTGCATCAGTCCTCTGAGATAAAAGAAAAAAAAAAAAAACCGAAGTTTTTTTTTCTCCTCCTGAGTTCTTCATGTGAGATTGAGCTTGCAAAGAAAAAAAAAAAAATGTGAAATGCTAAAGACCTTGCTGCGTGCTGAGTTCCACCGGGTTGTTTAGCATTGTTATAAATACAAGTACGTAAACCCCCTCTGAACCTGCCACAATCAAGCCTACATCAACCTTCTGGTGTGACTTGTGAGTTTTGGCCTTATGATGCCAAATCTGAAAGTTTAGTCCGCCATTTAAAACAAAAAACCTTACCCTCATCTCATGCATTATGATGCTTGCTACTCTGTCTTAGCAACAATGAACTATATAACTGTTTCAAAGACTTTATGGAAAAGAGACATTATATTAATTAAAAAAAAAGCCTGCATGCTGGACATGTACGGTATAATTATTTTTTTTTCTTTTTCTTCCTTTTGGCTTGGAAATGGACGTTCGAAGACTTAGCGCATGGCATTCGTACTTTGGTTTTACTGCCTCATGACTTTTTTGAGTTGAGAACAGGAAAAGTGCAACCCTAGAGCCTTCTACCCATGAGAGCTCGCTTCTCCTCCAAATTGCCTCCCATTATAATGCACTGAAGGCATTCCTTGTCAGAGATACCATAATGGGCTATTGAACCTGGCAAATATTATAGAACTTTTATTAATGCTTCCTTTTTAATAAGAATGCCCCCCCTGCTTTGGGGGACTAAAATTGTGCTGTTGCTGAAAAGTCTAAATTTTATTTTAAAAAGAAAAGAAAATCTGCCCCAATTATTTTTGGTTTGTTTTATTTTATTTTTTATTTTTTGGCTTTTGGTCATTGTCAAATGTGGAATGCTATGGGTTTCTGGTATATAATTTAATTCTAGTTTTTATAATCTGTTAGCCCAGTTAAAATGTATGCTACAGATAAAGGAATGTTATAGATAAATTTGAAAGAGTTAGGTCTGTGTAGCTGTAGATTTTTTTCAAGATTGATGCACTAAATTGTTTACTGTTGTGATGTTAAGGGGGGTAGAGTTTGCAGGGGACTGTTTAAAAGGTAGCTTAAGAAGCATGTGCTTGCAACTTAAATATAAGTTGGGTATGTGTAGTTTTTGCTATACCACTGACTGTATTGGAAACCAAAGTATTAAAGGGGAAACACCCCTGTTTATATCTGTAGGGGTATTTTACATTCAAAATGTATGTTTTGTTTTTTTCCAAAATTAAAGTATTTGGGACTGAATTGCACTAAACTATAACCTGCAAGCATATAATACAAAAAATTGCAAAACTGTTTAGAACGCTAATAAAATTTATGCAGTTATAAAAATGGCATTACTGCACAGTTTTAAGATGATGCAGATTTTTTTACAGTTGTATTGTGGTGCAGAACTGGATTTTCTGTAACTTAAAAAAAAATCCACAGTTTTAAAGGCAATAATCAGTAAATGTTATTTTCAGGGACTGACATCCTGTCTTTAAAAAAGAAAAGTAAATCTTACCACAATAAATATAAAAAAATCTTGTCAGTTACTTTTCTTTTACATATTTTGCTGTGCAAAATTGTTTTATGACTTGAGTTACTAACCACGCGTGATGTTCCTACGTGCTTCTTTTCATTTTCAATTGTGGTTCTATCAAGAGAAAGAATAATCTAGGATAATAAACTGCATTTTTTTGATTCTGTACTCCGTTTGTTAGTGTACAGTTTAACTGGGCCCAACGTCTTGGATATCTCGGATCTTGTATGTAAAATAGAAAGCACATCCTCTTTGATTTCTAATAGAAGGATGGAGGGGAGGATGGAGGCAGTGATTCTGCGTAAAATTATAGGTTGTTTTATGAAGCGAGGAGGCTGGACACATATAGTCATTACTAAAATTTAATATAGATACAAATTATGACATCTCATTTTTGTTCCTCCCAAAGTTTGCAGTTTCCCAGTTGAGTTGAGCCATTAGGGGAGAGAGAGAGAGAGAGAGAGAG